TGAGTTCCAGACCGAGGAACAGGATTTCACACACACCTCCCACTCCGGAATACCACCATGCTATTGATCTCCCTGTACTTTGCAACGTCCCATTAAGGGTGGCTGTATATGTATGCTTATTTGTGAGCCAAAAAAAAATTTTTTTTAATCAGCAAATAAACATATTCTAGACTTGTCCAAAATCTCCTTCCATGCTTCCATCCGTCGGATCAGTGGTTCTCAGGTCAGAGAGGAAGTAAAGAGTTGATTCCAAACTCAAGAACCATCAGGCAGAGTAGTTGCTCTTTCCTGGGCCCTGGCACAGACTTGTTTCTGGAGGCCCTACTCTCAGTATGTACCTTTGCAAAAACTGAAAGTGGTGTGTCACGTTATTTCCTTTATCTGCTTTAAATTAATCCTAGTTTGCCTTTTGCCACTACCTCCCTCCTGATCCCCAACAGGTAACACCTCTCTTGTTGTGACAGGCAAAAAGAAAACTTGAAATGCTGAAGTTTCTTGTTCAGAGCATTTCCTTAAAACGCCAAGGAAGCAAAACTAATTGTAACTTTGGAAGGAGATTTTGATAGGGAGGTAGAAAAAAAGTTTCATTAAAGAGGAGTTATGTAGTAAAAGGTCAGAACACAACAGGATTGGATTTCATAAAGTGGAAAATGAAGCCCAGAAAGGCCAGGGAAGCTGCAGATTGTGGCAGGGGAGGGCTTCTGAAAAGTCCTCTCTCCTCCCATGGAAGTCGGACAATAATTTTTAAAACACGCTTCCAAGTTGCTGTATCGAAGAAGCTCATTCATCGTCATTCACTCAAACTGCCCAGTTTTTTTGTTGTTGTTGCATTTTGTGATTGCTAGGTGTGTTCTTTCATGTAATTAAGATAGTCTATCAGAAAGTTGATTAATTTTAGAAATGCATAACTGCTTCTAAAGAGACGAAGCCTGCTTTAATCAAACTGGGATTTTTGAAAAGTTTTTGTGAAAGGTTAATTCGTGAATCTACAGAAGAAAATGTCCCCTGGGGAACTCAGGACTGAACGTGGGGAGCAGGCCCCCAAGGAAAAGGAAAGTCCTCAAGGTTGTGAAAAATAATTTAGCAAATGTGACTCTTTACGTGTATTTTAACATTTCCGTGTATATAGCCAGAAATCAAATCATTGAGCAGAAGGGCTGGTTTTAAATACAGTTGTCTGAAAGCTATTTTGGAAAAGTTTATAGCTGAACTTTTTAACAAGGTGATAGATAGCTTTTCACATGTAAAGTAGCTTTATTTTTCACACTCTTTTCAATCTCAAAGCCTCCCAAGAATGAAGTGGGCTTTGATTTAGTCCCATTTTACAGGAAAACAATTCAAGGCAAAGGGGAACTGCCACCATCCCTTCTGGTTGACAAGGAGCCCACTAGCTGTGTGGCCCTCCTGGCGCGCCCTGGCTAGGAGGGCCAAAACAAGCAGGAACCAGCATCATTTATTCCAGCCCTTAAAATGTCTGGGACCAAGAGTTGTAGGAGTACTTAGGAAGAGCTTGCTAAGAAAGAAGGAAAGGTTGTTCTCAATTTCAACAGACAATTGAAGAATCCAGCTTTAAAAGGATAGGAAGAGGTGGGGAGGAGGAGGGGATTATAATTTACTCTTTATGGGGCAATAATTGGGGGCCAGGTGGGTGTAGAATTCACTGCATACTTGAAAAAGTGCGTTTTTTTCTCCTCAAGTTCCTGCCGGTACAGGTTTAATTAAAAGCTCTAGAACTTAATTTAAAATAACGACTGGAAACTACTTATGGGTTGGATTGAATATTAGAGAATATAGCCAATTTTGCACATGGGTCTTGCAAAGGAAAGGAAAGCCGGAACAACAGTAAGTTGCAGAAGTCAGAGGAGGGGAAAGGAAGTCCTTTCCCACTTCAGATTTCCCGTGACCAGAACGCGGCGCTTAAACACGAGGGTAGGGCCCCATTTCTCACCCACCGGGGGACGGCTGGACGCCAGATGCCCTTGGCTGAGGCACAGCGCAGACCAAAGGGCACCTGCTCTGCGGCGGCCCTAGAGGCTAAAATAAGGGGACACTGGGATCCCACAAATTTTGTCCCTGGATTTCTCCTTGCCCTGCGTTCCACAGGGAATCCTTAAGAAAATACCGCCAGTGGGGCTCCAGAATTTGAATTTACTAGTGGCATCTGAGTTCAAATGCGGGGTGGGGGTGGGGGAGGAACTAATCCGAAAGCACAGCAATCACGTGTATTTTGTAGCTGCCACTTTTAACTTTTCCATCTTATATTTGAATTGGCTAGTGGAGACCAGTTGACAGTGGAGTCTCTCTTGCAGTAGATGTCGTGGCCTTCACTTATTTAAGGAGATAATAAAGTGGAATTTCCTATTAACAATAAGGGGTAATGACTTTGCTTTTCAAATAAAACGTTGATGTCTGCCAAATAAAAGAGGTACGGATCCTTTGGAAAGTGAGGGATCTCAATTACTGTCATGCCGGCCGCCTTTTGAACACAACATATGCTCTTAATTTTTAAAACTTTTTGCCTTTAGTAAGAAATCCTAAATCAGCGTCATTAAAGCCAATTTCTTTCCCTCCCTTTTTTCTTCCTCTCTGCCTCTCCTTTCAACAGTGGTCTGAAAGTTCAGTTATTCTCCATCGTGAGTAAAAAATTCTGGAAATCAGCTAATGTGCCAACACTGGGAACATATCCAGGCCCATGATGCGAAAATGGAATATGTGCTGTTGAATTATTATTTTTGTCCTTTAGGTTTACGTGTACGCCCTTGTATTATGTAAATTTCTGAGAAGCTGTGAATCACAGCGTTAGGCAGAGGAGGGTTTTTATTCCCCTCCACATGCCGCAGGAACGGACCCCATTCAGTCGTTGAATGATTCACAGCCTCATTCCTTCTTCCGGCTTTTTACCCACGCGCAGCTCCCCTGCCCACCCTCGACCTCGCCGCTGGCAGGGGCGCCGGGCCACCACCCCAGCCCGGGAGCCGCGGCGGGCTGCGTTCGTGACACCAGCCGGCCAGCCCCTCGAGGTCACCGCGGGCCACTAGAAGCTGTTCCTCTATTGCCAGCGTCAACACCGACGAGAGGCGCTTAACGCTTCGCAGTGTTTCCAGTAGCCTCTTCCTCTGTGAAACTAATGGGAAACTGCGAGGGCAGACCTACTGTTAGTGAACCAAAGAATTAACTGAACTTAAAGAGGAGACGTTGGGAAGGAAAAAAAAAAAGACTTCCAAATTACGTCAACCTAAGAAGGCAATAATTTAACTTAATATTGTAAAAGTTGGTAAGATTCTTTAATGACGGATCAAGCCTATTCTTGGGATTTTCTTGGCCTGGATGTTACAGCTCACCTCTTGAAACCTGTAGAACGCCTGTAGGATCTGATCTGAGAGAGGCCTAAGGGAGGGATGGAGGGGGGATGGGAGAAGAGCGTCCATCCTCACCAAAAAGAGGGGGCCGGCCAGGGGCTGAGCGTGTCCTCCCCTTCAGGACTGCGGCAGCCAGCTGGAGGTGGCCGCGGGGGTATTGTGCTCTGTGGACAGCCATCCCATTGCCTCTTTTAAAAGGGAAGAAGGACTTGACAGGGAGAGCTCAGGAACCGGAATGAAAGGACAAATTGGAGGGTGGGACCAAGAGGGGAAAGTAAAAGGAAACTGTCTTAAGCAGGAGGATCTAGTTAGAAAATTCTCTCCCTTTCCCCGGACCGTCTGAAGACACCGACTAATTCTAAACACAATCCCGACGGTTTGAAGGGAGGATCGGTGGAGGTGTGGGGGTGAGGGGCACAAAAATACCTTACATGACAATGGGCATGAGAGGTTTTTTGAGAACTCTGAGGTGCCCTCCTCCCCCCGTTTAAAATTGGCTTAAGAAAGAGTTTTCCGGGGAAACTCAAAATGACAGGCAAAACTAATAAAAAGATGTCCTAGTGCCTTCTTGGGCGTGCCACAGGGTCAGGCCTGTTCTCTTTCACCTGACATCTAGATTGAATGACCCTTCAGTTACACCCTGAGTGGTCAAAGCAAGTAGTCTATTAGCGAATGTTCTGTTCAAAAACTTTTCAAACAGGAGTCCTCCGCCATCTGTTACTCGGTCTTTAAACCCGATCCCGCACCCCCTCCCGAAACTCTTAGGAGACTCCCGCCCTTCTCCCAGCTTTAGGGGGATGGAGCCGCTACAGGACCCGCGGGGGTGCAGCGGCGAGAGGGAGGAGAGCGATCGCGCCTCACACGGACCACGGGGCCCGCAGGGGCGGTGGCGGCCCAGAGGTCAGAGTGACCGGCTGGCGACCGCGCGGCACTGGCGGACCCGGCACCAAGAGGCCTGGCCCGCGGAGCTGGTCCAGACGCGCTCGGCGCGGCGGGCGGGCGAGCAGGTCAGGCAGGCGGCGGGCTGCAAAAGTGGCGCCTCGCTCCCACCCCTTCCAAAACGCTCTGGCCACCGCCCCCGGCCCTTCCGAGGCGGGCTCCCAGAGCCTGGGCGCCCCCGGCCTTGCCAACGTCATTTTAACTATTTGGGACTCGTGCGCAAGAACCAATAAGTGGAGAGCCCGACCGGGGAGAGTTGTCAGCTTTTCTGTTCCACTTCGGGCTTCTGTTAAATGGCTCTTCTGGGCAACCGAACCGTGAGTGAGGCGGGGGCCTCGGATCCTGCGCCAGCAGCGGGGACGCAGTTCCCCTGGGCGGCGGGGCCTGGGCGCGCGAGGCGGCCGCGGTGATGGAGGCCACGGCGGGGCGGCCGAGGACGGCGGGGCGGCGCGGGACGCTCCCGGGTGGGAGCGACCGATGGCCGGGGTCCAGGAGGTAACTGAATCTATAAACGGCTCTCAGAGATTTCTGGCTCAAGGATTTTGATTTCCCTCTCTTGTTTCTCCATTTCTCTAACCTCATTCTTTGCTCTGTGTTATTTGTATTACCGACTTTTATTTCATGAAAAATAAGGAAGAAAGTTTAAAAGTAACATCAAAACCGCCCTAACCCTCGTGGGTAGCATCAAGGAAGGAGTCAGACTGTCTGTTGAATGTAGTTTTTATTTTAACCACAAAATGACTTTGAACAACGATCTGGGGACGGCTGCAAAACGCTGATCAGCCAATTGCATAACCAGCTATCAGCGTAGGGCAAGAGAGCATATTTTGGCTGTCGTCTTCTAATTGTTCACCTCCCAGGTTTCAACAACATCGTTGTAAATCGCAAGCAAAACTTTGCTGGGTTCTGTTGCTTGACTTCTAGGCAGCTCCTCGAATGATTTGGAGAAATTGGGTTGCTTGTTTATAAACTTCTTTTTCCATCAAGTCCAGCCCTGAGTTGGAGCCTGGTAGTCTGAAGGGATCACACCTCACAGGCCTGTGGGAACGGGTGAGAAAAATCCCAGCATTAGTGGGGGAGCAGAAACAAATCCAGGGCAGGTGATCCGTTGTCTGTAATGCCTGCCAGCTCATTAACAGCTCTCACCTTTAGGGCTCTTCATTTACTTTTACGAACGGATTTACTATGTAAATGCTGTTTTGAGAAGAAGAATTTCACTAGGTTTAAATGAAATCCTAATGTAAAAGAAATAGTAGCAGACATAAAAGAAATAGTAATGCTGACATAAAAGAAATAGTTTGTCTAGAGTCAAACCTGTCTCCCACCTCTCCTCTCCCAAAATAAAGGAGGGCTCTGTGAGTTGACTGACTCCTCCTGTACTCCTAACCTGTGATACTGCCCTTCACATGCTAGCTAGACAAAATTAGCAAGAATTCTTTATTTGCTACCAAACTAACTAAAAGCACACTAGTAGTTTTAAAGCTGAACTTGTCGCCCAGGTGTCTATTAATGTGCTGGAAAGTTAGCTCCCACCATGTATTCATTAACTAATCTGAGATACTCAACAAGACTCTTTCCTTGAACCTTTCGACCCCTTCCTATTTGTGTCCTATTCCATCACGCTGCCTCCAAGAACACAACACAAGAAATAACAAAAGACCAGTCAGAGATAAAGACTGAGCAAAACTGTAGAAGAATTTAGAAATGTTTTTCCTCCTCTAGAAAGAAGATACTTTGCCTTGGTGCTATTCACTAAACAGAAAAAAAAGTGTGGATGAATTTGAATGCCTAGAGAGAAGGAGTTGTCAGAATAATAATCTCCCCCTCATTTAGTTTGTAGTAGCTAATAAAAAGCAAAGAGAAAGCAGTCTTTTGTTTTTGATGAGGAGGCAGAGGTTGTGGATGTTGGAAAGGCCTGAAAACATGACCAGGGACAAATTAATGCACTTGGCAGAAGGTTGGATAAAGTATCATATTTCCCAATCCATTTTTTATTTTTAAAAGATTCAACAGTATTTTGTGACTTATTAAGTATGAAGAGATGAAAGATTATGGATTATTTGGTAATTAATGGCTCTATGATATTGTCTTTTATTTCAGATTGCAGAAACCTTGACAAGTCACATTTGCTTTTGACTAGGATGTAAATAAAACATCTGTGAAAATTATGCAAGTTCTTGAGTAATATCAAGAATACAGTTTAGAAAGCATTAAAATCAAAATTAGATTTCCTAGAAAAGAGAAAACTTTATTTTAGAGGAGTGGAACTTCTTCCTTACTTTCTCAGAAGGTCTTAACTTAGAGTTTGTTATCTCCTCTGTTCATATCAAGGACTGTTCTGCTTCCCTCAGGACATCTCATGCAGGATAAACCAGACACTTAAAACGTGCCTTCCACAAGGATTTTAAGCAGGTAGGTAGGGCAGATAAATACTGCCTTTCATGGTCGGGAAGAGGAGGGACAATGAAGCATCAGCTCTGACGAATAAAGGGGGAATTATAGGATTTTCCAAGAAAATCCAAAGAAACTATAACTGAGTTTCGATTTTGCCGTTAACAAAACAAACAATGCTCCCTTGAGTTCTTTTAATAAACAATTAAGACCTGGATTTATAAAGCATCTCTTCACATCTTTAGGATTAGGAAGCTCAGTTCTATGTTTTAAAGGAAAGGCATAATTGCTAATTTGCGACATCTGCGTTACTCAAATGACACTATACTTTCAAACGCTTGTCAAAAAGGCAAATCCCGAAAAGACCATTGAAAAGCAAATTGTTGAAATATTAGCCATACGAAACACGTATGCCCTAAGCCAATAATTTTCCTTTTTAGTTCAGTGTCCGCCGAAGGAGAAATTTACCGAGGTCAAATCAAGACTCTGATACCGTTAAGGAGGAGGCGGTGGGGGAGGGGGAGCAGGGAAGAGGGAGGGACACGCGACGAACGTAAAACAAACTGGTGGCATTCAGTCAAGAAGGCAGGTAACGCTCCGGAAGCGGGTGAGTTGCACAAGTCAGCTGGGCGCTCCAAAGCTTTCCAGAGCCGGGTAGTTTCATGCTTCCTTGTTTTTCCTTTAAACCTGGCCCTGTGTCGCAGGAGTGCAGCAGGAGGGGGATTTTTCGAAGTTGGGAAGTGGCAGGTAGGAAAGGAAACCTGATCCGCCCCGAAAGGGAGCAATTAAAGTCTTAACCGCGACCCATCTGTCGTGGGACGCCCCCACCCCTTTCCCCTAGCAAAGCCGTCCCGCGCTCTTTGTCCGAGCAGGGGAGAAGAGAAGACGGGCTGTGCGGCCCCAGCAGCAAAAGGAAAGAAAATTTCCAGCCTGGGCGCACCCTGCGTGACTTCGCCCGGGCCAAGAACTGCTTCGAAGTGCGTCGGCGTTGTGGATGTCCCGGACTCGGCCCTGGTGCTCCGCGCTCGCCTCATTCTGCACCTCTCTACCGCTGCATCTGCCCTCCCAGTCCGAAGCTACCTGAGACTTGAAACGATGCACTTCCAAGCATAGTTGCTAAGGCCGGTCGCATCCAGACCTTTCCCCTCCCTGGCTCTTTGGCTGCCTTCAACTTCAGCAAGAGGCCTCCTCCTCTATTTCCTCAGCAATTAAGTTTCCCCACCACCCGTCCAGCTGCTATGCCTCGCTGTAGGGCACAAGGCACGTTCCCAGACCCGGCTCTCTCGGTTTCCACCCATTTCGGCTCGCCGGGCGGGGGCGGGGCATACAACCACGAAAAGCCAGAGTGAGTGGCCCCTGGCGTGTGCTGGGCAATGGGGTAGGGAGGAGGGAATATTTTGAGGTCAATTTCCTCCGTTTGGGGTCCAACTTCGCATTTGGGATGGAAGTGGTCAGGGGCTCAACAATCCCAGGGTTTCTAGTCCGCTTGCATCCAGCTTTCCACGACCGATCCTTTCCAGAGCTCTTGCAGGAAGAGGACGCCCACACCCGTTTGGCCCGATGTCTGGCACCCGCCACCACCCGTTCTACAAGCATCCGCTCAGGGTAACTCACCAGGTAGATGGTAAACTGGGCTGTTTCGGGAGGCCATTCACAGGGGCGTGCAGGCTGCAAGGCCCTGAGCTGGCACCTCTGCGCTTTTCCTCTTCGTCCCGGCGCGGGCTCGTGACCGCCGAGTCCTCCTTGCGCAGCTGCCGGTGCACGCCCGGCCCTGGCACACCTGGTCACAGGGCTAAGCTCCGCGCGATCTCAGGCTTGCAAAGGGGAGCGACAAGGAGGGTGCTCGCCGCTGCTCCGGGCGCGCTCCGGGCGGCGCCCTCTTAGGTGGCGAGAACCCGCGCAGCCGGGGTCGCAGCCTCTGGTGTCTTCCGGAAACACTCCTTACGCTCTACGGCTCCTCCCGGGGAGTTTTGGCCGAGGCCTGGATGGGGGGCGTTGCAGAGGCAAGGTTTCCGCTCTCTTTCTGGGAGGCGGAAGCGTTGCTGTGGCCAAGACTCGCGCCCCGCAGGTCGCAGTGCTCGCCGCTCCGCGGTGCACACACACCCTGGCTGCAGCCTGCGCTAATTTGAGGAGGCGTGCGGACACCAGCAGTAGGGAGGTTGAGGGAGGGAATCAATAGTTTCCCTTTTCCGCTCGATAATTTCTATTTAAATTGCTCCAAGAGAGCTCTATCAGAGTACTTAGAAGAAATTCACTTTCCCAGCTTTCAGTGGAAAGGCATAAGAGTGCGCGTGGGTGTTTGTGTCGGGGGTAGGGTCTGGCCCTCGTCCAGGTTTCTTTTGGTGTGATACCAGCTTATTCCTTGCAACTCCTCCTCAACTTTGTGGCTAGAGTGTGTCTTTCGCAAGCTTATGTCTCAGCATCACGTTTACAAACCACAAACACATAACAAGCCTCCCAAGGCCTTGAATTCTCAGGGATGTTTTGGGAGGCCAATTACCTGCTGGCGTCTTCCAAATGGTCCAGACTCGGTTCTGGCGGCGGAGACTCCGGGATGCCGGAAGCGCTCAGCCCTGGGCCCTAGAGGAAGAAAGAGGGCTGTAGAGGAGCCCTGACCCGGGCCCAGACCCAGCCGGGCGGAACCATGCAAGAAAAATTAGGATTTCGCAGCCGGAGGCTTCCCGGCCGCGGCTTTGTGGAGCTTGGCATTTGATAAATATAGCCTGGCGTTTGCCCCTGAATTAGACTCCGTTTCCTTATTTAGCCCTTGCACAATGATTTTAGATGATGTCACTTAGAGCTAAACGAGAAAATTGATCTCAGATTTGCTTGGCCTCTAAACCCTGGTTAAGCAGATTGAGAATTAAAAAGACAGAGGAAAAAGCAAAGGGGGGGGGGCGCGGAGGGTAGCGAAGTGCGCGCCTGAGAGTGTGTGCGCGGAGGGGAGGGCGCGCGGAGTTGCGGAGAGCGCCCCCGCCTCTTCTGGGCGGGGGAACCTCAGTCACCAATGAAAAGTAGTCACTGACTGCAAAGAAAAAAAAAGTTTTCCTGTTGACTGTTGGAAGCGAATTGAGCAATTATCTAGTTTACCTTCTCCTCTTGGAAGTTAACGATTGGCGAGATCTTGGCTGCGTTATTGACACAACACTTTCTATTGATAGAAATAAGTAGTGATTGTCCCCGAGTCATTGGTGCGCCAAGAACTCTGCGATGGGCTGGCAGGAGTCCATTGGGCTGAGCAGGGAGGTTCGGCTGGTGATGCTGGGGAGGAGGAGGAGGAGGCTGCTGGTGGTGATGGTGCCCGTCCCCCTCTCCGCAGGTCTGTGACAAGCAGGGAACAAGGCAACGACGGTGCAGCCCGGCCCCGGCTGACGGACGCTGGCGACTCAGACATGGACAGTAGCTGCCACAACGGGACTGCCAAAATGTTAGCGACTGCTCCGGCCCGGGGCAACATGATGAGCACCTCCAAACCCTTGGCTTTCTCCATCGAACGAATCATGGCGCGCACCCCCGAGCCCAGGGCCCTGCCCGTCCCCCACTTCTTGCAGGGAGCCGTGCCCAAGGGGGATCCCAAGCACTCTCTGCATCTTAACTCGTCGATCCCCTGCATGATCCCCTTCGTACCTGTGGCTTACGACACGAGTCCCAAGGCAGGAATGACGGGCTCGGAGCCACGGAAGGCGAATCTGGAGGCTCCGGCGGCGCCAGCAGCGGCTCCCGCAGCGCCCGCGTTCAGCTGCAGCGACCTGCTCAACTGCGCTCTGAGTCTCAAGGGTGACCTGGCCCGCGACGCGCTGCCGCTGCAGCAGTACAAGCTGGTAAGGCCGCGCGTGGTCAACCATTCTTCCTTTCATGCCATGGGAGCCCTGTGCTACCTGAATCGAGGGGACAACCCGTGCCACCCGGCGGCCGGCGTTAACATCCACCCGGTGGCCTCCTACTTTCTCAGTTCCCCTTTGCACCCGCAGCCAAAAACGTATTTAGCAGAAAGGAATAAACTGGTGGTCCCAGCGGTGGAGAAGTACCCCGCGGGAGTAGCTTTCAAAGACTTGTCTCAGGCTCAGCTGCAGCATTATATGAAAGAAAGCGCCCAGCTTCTGTCGGAAAAAATCGCGTTCAAAACCTCTGACTTCAGCCGAGGCTCTCCTAATGCCAAGCCCAAAGTTTTCACTTGCGAAGTGTGTGGAAAGGCAAGTACCATGTAGAAGGGAGGTCTCCCTTCCTTCCTTTTTAATTTAATTTAACTTTCGTTTGTGACTATTTGTACACACTGGTTATGAGGTTGTCTCCTCCCTCCCCTCTCTCTGCCGGGTTTGATTTCGAAGTGCTTGTTGCGCTAACCGGTATGTGTCTTAACTTTAAGGTCTTCAACGCGCATTATAACTTAACCCGTCACATGCCGGTGCACACGGGAGCCAGACCCTTCGTTTGCAAAGTGTGTGGAAAGGGTTTCCGGCAGGCCAGCACCCTGTGCAGGCACAAGATCATTCACACCCAGGTGAGTTCGACTGTCTCAGTTTCACCTGGTTTACTTCGGAACGGTTTGTAGAAAAATGGCCGATAAACACTTAGTCTTTAGCATAAGGTGTGTTTAAAATTTGCTGGCTGGACAGGGGGAAATGCCATGTATGGTTTGCCTTTGTTCTGCTTAAAAGCGTGAGAGAGAGAATTAGTGTGTTTTTGACTTTGCAGGACTCCACTTAATAACAAAATACCTTAACTTCTCTGCTTTTTCTCCCTTCCGCTTAGGAAAAACCTCACAAATGTAACCAGTGTGGCAAAGCATTTAATAGAAGTTCCACGTTAAACACGCATACCCGCATTCACGCAGGCTACAAACCGTTTGTGTGTGAATTCTGTGGCAAAGGATTTCATCAAAAAGGTATCGAACCTGGGAGATGCTGTCTTTCACGGTGGTCTTACCGAAAGCCCTAATCGTTTCGGGATATTTTAGAAAATGATTTTTTAAACGCAGCTAGTTACTGGCGCCTATGTTGCCATTCTAACCTCCTACCTCCACGTCTGATTAATACTAGAGAAAGACGTGGTTCATGTTCCGAGGGGGTCTTTCTTTTCAACCGCGTGTTCTCTTTTTATGTAATTAAATGTGGAGGGAGCGGCTCCATTGTTGCTGTTAAAAAACAAACTTGGGGAGAGACGTGCAGGCGCAGAGCGCAGCCCTGCACCGGCTGTCCGAGCTGCGGCAGCTGTTTCTATTGCTTCGTTGTCCTTCGACCCGTCCGCTCCTCCCTTTTCAAGCTCTCTTTTCCTATCCACGTCCCTGTCATTTGTCTGTTTCAGGCAATTACAAAAACCACAAGTTGACCCACAGCGGGGAGAAGCAGTTCAAGTGCAATATCTGCAACAAGGCTTTCCACCAGGTTTACAACCTCACCTTCCACATGCACACCCACAACGACAAGAAGCCCTTCACCTGCCCCACGTGCGGCAAGGGCTTCTGCAGGAACTTTGACCTCAAGAAGCACGTCCGCAAGCTGCACGACAGCAGCCTGGGGCTGGCGCGCACACCTGCTGGGGAGCCGGGAGCCGACCCGCCGCCCCCTCTACAGCAGCCAGCGCCCGCGACGCTGCCTCCTCTGCCGCCGCCGCTGCCGCCCCCTGGGCCCCTGCAGACCGGGCTCCACCCGGGCCACCAGTGATCAAGGCCAAAGTCCCCTCCCAGCCCCAGCCAGGGTCCCCACTACTGAGGCAGCGGCAGAATAGAGCTGGACCTCCGGATCCAAGCTCCTCTGCAAACCCAGGGCATGTTGAGCCCCATGAGTTAGCGACCAGACGCCTCTGCATTCCCCGGCATTTAGCCTCTTGCATGCACCTGCTAAATGGTTTTGTGTATTATATTCTATATAGGCACTAACGATTATGAGAAAATTTGGGGGTTTTGTTTGTTTTCTGACTTTTTTCTTAATTTGGAAAAACTTTTTATCGCGGGTGGAGAGATGGTGTTTGTTTTGTTTTGTTTTTTAAAACAAATTCTGCTGTATTTATTGAGATCCTACCCGGGAATGCTGCACCATTTTAATTTTATTATTGTATATATTTCCATTGTGTTGACTCTGCCGTCTCAAGATGCCTGCCAATTGTTGATGATCATTTCCTCTTTCCCTGAGGTAGCAAAACACTGTGTGTATGTTATATATACACGCATAGATATGTGTGTCTATAAAGGCACATTCCACATTTGTGAGCACACGTATGCACACATACACGTTAGATAAGGGTGGTTCATTATGAATGAATTTGAATTTTGGTTTTGATTCTTGCACGTGAAAATTGATTCATCGACTGTTGGAAATAAATACTTGGAACATGCTTATTTAATCAACAAACTTCAGGGCTCTGTTCATGTTATTCAGTTAGAGATCACTGATTCTGACTCCCTCATCCTTCCTCCATTTTAAAAAGTTCAATCCTGGGTTAGTATCACCCAAAGTTTGAACCGAAAAATTCACCAAGGGCGAATAATAGTCTCTCCAAATAGTTACAACTTTGGTAAAGTAATGAAATTTGATGAAGCTCAGAGACAGAAGATGTGGAGTTTTCTAACAGAAGGGTGCCTTTGTCCTGGGCCGTCTGATGTGTCTGTAGTGCTCAGTTAAATGGGAACAATCTGTCTAGGAGATGTGTGTAATATACATCCCCACACACATATTGCAATAATACCATGTAGACGGATATCTATTGTTAGCATCCTGAAGGCGCATACTGACTTGTACACAGCTGGCAAAGAGAGCCTCTGTGTTTTTATGTGCGTGTATATGTTTATAGCCGAATATGCTTCCATTCAGGGAGGAAACATGGATGAAAACCAAATTGCGGCGGGTGCCAGGTCCTTGAAACGCTTCAAGTGTTAATCAGCAGCTCCACTGTGAGCTCGGGCTCTGCTGTTTTCTAACTGCAAGTCTCCCCTGTTTTCTTGCCAAAACAGTGAAACAACTGCTAAAGACTTTAATTAAGAGGGGTAATTAGTTCAGATTTATCAAAGCCGGGTTGTTATACTATTAGCTGCTCAGTAGAAGCTGCCAGACAAGCTCACAGCCCAGCACAGCCATCCCGCTGCAGCGGGGCCACATCTGGGGAGAGAGGCTGGGGGGAGCGGGACGCAGGGGTCCCCGCCTCGCCACCCGGTCCCCGCAGCCCCCAGCCTCGCGGGTGCGTCTCCACCCCTCCCTCGGCCTCGCGCTCCCGCCAGGCCCAGCCGCGGCGGAGGGTCCACCGCGGATGCACGGCGCGAGCGCAGGCTCCCGAGAGCCCAAGGACTGCCTCCCCGCGCCGGGTCAGGCCGGCCTCGCCAGCTCCTGGAGCGCCCCGACCGTGGCAAGAGGGGAGCGGGGAACGAGTTTACATTTGCGGTCCCGCCTCACTCTTGTTGGTCCGGCGGCGCTCAAGGAAATGAGGCGCCGGGCAGCGACAGGCGGGACGAGGGACGGAGATGGGCCGGGGGCACCGTAGGGGCGCGGCGGCAATTTCCTTGGCAACCAGAACCCGCATTTCAAGACGGAGAAGGATTGACAGCTCCGGGCGCGGAGAGCCCGTGACCTGAAGGGCTTCTCGGCCGCTCAAGAGGCAGGGAGGTGATGGACAGCCACGGCGGGGGGACCGCAGGCGAGTGGGTGAGCAGGCCCCGCGGGACATCCAAGCCAAGTCCTACCCGGGCCCCTTTCGAGCTGAAGGAGCCAGCGATCCCGGGCAAAGAGATGGCCGGGAGGGTTCCCGAGAACAGAGAACTCCTGATTCCACGTGCAGACGTCGGGTCGAGACTCCCCCACTCTTGCCCCAGGGCGCACGCCCTCGCCATCCCGTCGCCCTCAGACTCTGGGGCTTTAAGTCCCAGCCCAGCGATCATTGGATCGAATCTCTATGTTTCTCTTTTCCTAACCTCCCCACACCCCACCTTATCCTTTGCTGAGATCAGATCCTTGTTAGATTTGACTTCGGGAAGAGATGCAGGGTCTTGGAATTCCACAGCTGGGTGGATTCTGAATCTGCGCGGCTGGCAGAAGTGCCATCTCTCCCTGAATATCACAGCCGTCTGGAAAATGGTGTCCCAGGTGCTGGCCACATTCCCTCATAGCTGCCCATGCCACAGAAGAAGTTTAGGGAAGCGTCTTGTAGTCTATGGGTAACCATCTTTTCGAGGTGGCATAGTCTGTATCTTGAAAGCATTTGCTCTCTTTGAGTAAACAGAATGAGGTCAGAGGTCATTATAAAGGGCAGAAAATGGTCTTTGGTTCTTGAATTAATTCTCAATAAGTATTTGAACTTATTTTCAAAACCCCAGGATGTAATTCTTCCAGACTTTCAAGGTGACACAGTTTTACTGGTGGAAAACAAAATGAACATTATTGAGGAAAATTACTAAGCCATAAAATACTTCCAGTTAGGAAGTTCTTGTATGTGGTATTCCCATCTACTAACCCATGCCAGTGTGCTTTGACTTATACTGAAACAAGAAGTCTTCTATGGAAAGATGGAATTGGTCTGTGGGGAGAGGGAGGGAGAGAGTGAGAGAGAGAGAGAGGGAGGATCTGTCATTGTAACCTGGAATGACTTTGTATAGGTCTAATTTGGGATGGTGCATTCGTTCCAGAGAAGGCAGGCGAAAGGAAATGGTTGTCTGCTCACAGGGTTGAGTAGCCTGAAGTGGTGGTGATTAAGTAGGAGAAGTGAAAAGGAAATTCTCTAAAATAAGCACTCAAGAGAACTACTTGTCAGGAGGTGAAATATCGATGAACTCTGACTTATGACAAAGCTGTTAGAGCTTACTAAACATCAAGGAGAATCTCCCTAAAGACAATATGAGTCTAGAGATTAAATTGAGGGGAGGGTAAAAACTGATGACAAGGGCTACTTAACTAATAGTCAGTGGAAGACCTTACAATCCACCCCCCCCCCAACAAGTATTAAAAGGTGACTTTTTTTCCCTTAACTAAATCTATGTGTGTATATCTGTGTGTGCTTACATAAATGTTTATGTTCATTCATGAAACAGGTACTCTTAAAGTATGAACAGCAAATTGGCTCATCCCAGTCTACCTTCTTTTTACCAGAAGTTAACCAGCACATTCTTTCATGTTTAGGAAGGAAGAGTGGCTAGTGATGGGATTATCTGCAGAGGGAGGTGGTTTATCTTCCGCTCTCTCTGTTGGAATTGACTTCTGGCACAGAGGAAGATGGCACAGCCATAGGGCTTCAGGGAGCAGCTTTAGAAAGTTATTGACCTCGGGTCTTATGTTTTGTTCAGTTTTGGAAATCAGAATATAGAACAGAATTAATAATGTAAGTAGTTAGTTCCTTCCTATTTTGTTTTAAAACAGATCCCAAATCCTGATTTCCAATAATCTCTTCCCAAAGGATATAATTTGTTCAAACTTTCAAAATTTTAGTTTGAGAACAAGTTATTGTGCAAGATTAGGACTAAGGTATCGATTTTTCAGTGGTAAATGAAAGTGTTATTTAGGGGCCTCATCAAAGCAGTTACTTGTTAATGAAGTTTGACTCTTAGTGAGTTTCTTATTGAACTTTGCTCCTTTCCAAATATGAAAGAAATTAATCCACAAGGTGCCATGGAGTCATAATTTTCAGAATCTGTGCAGCCTGTTTGACACATGTCCCTTATTTTAGTGGCAGTTAGCAATGTCAGAAATCATAGTTTTTTTTACATTTGGTGACAACTCAAAGCATTGACCAAATTATAACTGTAATAGGTATGTTTTGTCTCTATAAAATGGTCATCCCAAAATATACCATAGAAAATACAAATTATATCAAATTCAAAATTAGGGAAGAAACAAAAATGTTTTCTTTGTCACTTTTAAACTCTTGTAATGGGTAAATTTTTGTTACACGTGAAGCTTAGGATTTTAAGGGATCGTGGCTTGCTCTATTACCAAACAGCATTTTTAAAAGCATGAAAATTAAAGACAAACATAAATCTCAATGGGTAAGAATATGAAGCTGTTGACTGGTTTGGAAAAAATTTTGATACAAATAAAACATTGCTTTCTTGCTACATTTTTGCCAAAACCACAGATTACTTTCACCCAAGAAATGATGTTTCCGTCAGGTCAATTAAAAACCAAAAAATAAACATATTTGTAAGTTAAAGATATCTTGTTACAAATTTCATTGCCTCTAGAAATCAATGCATATGTCCATTCCATCTCCAGGGCAGACTACCTAAAAACAAACAAAAATATATTAATCAACACACTGGTCATTTGTGCGCTCTTGGTGTTGAACTGCTAGTTCAACTGCTAGTTCAGTCCAGCATATGTTATCTCACTCCAGACAATAGAGAAGAGGAAGCCTGATGTTTAAATGACCTTGTTAGGAAAATCTACCTCCGTTATTATATTTTTCTGCTTGTATTGTGACATGTTGCTCATAGCGAACACTGAGGAAAAGTCAAAATCCATCATGTGCTTCAGTGGGCACAAAGTTATCACAAATAACTGTGCACGTTTTCTGTTCAAGTTTGAGGTGACATTGGTGTCAAATGAAGTCATGTTGCTATTGGTCTTATGGAGATTAAGTTACTAAATAAAGATGAAATAAAATTCCTTCAATACAGGTCTCTGGGGCTAATATTTTGCTGTCAAACAAACAAACGTTGCTCTTGGGTACAAAGGTGTAAGAGTAAAGAGAGAAAGCCTCACGTATGAGTCCCTAAGTGGAGCTAGAAATCTATCACAAAATGGAGAAAAGATCTCCAGTTTGATTTCACTCTGTTCTTCTTGATGACAATAGTAGGGACTTTTTGTGTGTGAGAGATCTAGAAGCCCAGACCAATTCAGAGCCTTCTAATCACAGCAAACAAATATGGTGAGGTCTTTTGATGACCAACCATAGAAATGTAATTTGTCAGTTAAATGTTAACCAAATCTGGAGTAGATGAAACCCTCCACTAATGTAAATTGTTTGCACATATCTCTGAATAGGATTTGCATTTTAAAAATTCTAGCCAAACCCAGAGTTTGGAACAAACCTCTACAGGACAAACAACCCGTTTCTTCAACAAATAATGTTAAGGGAGAGAAAGACAGAGAAGGAAAGGGAAAGGAAGAGAAGAAAGGGGAGGGGATGGGTGAGGGGAAGTAGAAGAGGGGAGAATGGGGGGAAGAGAGGGACCAAGACAGAGAGAACAAGAAAACCTATCAGTTAAAAAAGATCTTAAAAGTAGAATAACCAATTGCTGTGTGTGAATCTCATTTCAGTTCCAATGCAATCAAATAAACTATAAGCATAAAAGTCATTTATGACATCTGAGACTACTGGAAATTCGAATACTGGGTGTTTAATAAAATTAAGGAATTACATATT